CTCCAGTATGTTCTTGATTTCTTCGTGATGTAATTTTATTACTCTCGTCCCAAAATAATACACAAATCTATTATTACAAAGCTAAATGAGACAACACATTACAAGAATCATGAAAACGTTTCCTCGTATTTCATTAAACAGGCGCCATATCCTAATAACAGAGGTCAATAAGTCGGTTTTAAGAAACGGTATGACGATTCTGCGGGCTTCAAGTAATAGTCATATCTTACATTAAACCGAAACGAATCAAAATGAACTTCTACATCCGTTGCGTAATTGAGGAAAATAAAATAAAATAAAAACGTCCTGACAGAACAGACGGAAACTACACATAAAAAGGCAAATTAAATTCGGAAGTGTGACGATGGTTCGTATATGTGTTAGATCGCGTGTGCAGGCTAATCTGTTCTGACGCAACGAGCCTGCCGACGGATACATCGCCCCGACTCTGGCACAGTCTCCTCCAGGCTTTTGCCACTTACAGAGACAGCAATTCTTTAGATTATTACAGATCTCAGGGCCTGACACGCCTATACAACACTATTTCGTAATGCGTTCTCTGAAAAAAATTTTTTTGATAAGGTTGCCATATAATAGGGGTTTTGGATGTTATCGACCCAACACAACGCAAAATTTAAGGCTACAAGAAGCTCACATCGAACTTCACTTTAAGTTTCCTCAAAATCAGCTCCATCTTCCAACACAAAATACGAACCTCATTAATAAGGATTCTTTACTGAGCTAGACGAATTCTGTCCTCATGACATCATATTTCAATAAGATCCATTTTAATATTAGCCTCCTATCTTCTCATAGGTCTATCAAATGGTCCTTTCTCTTCAGAACTACCAACTACAAATTTTGTACGTGTTCATCTCTCTCTCACGCGAGCTAAAAAAAGCCCGCCTATCCTCCTTGATTTGATTGCTATAAAAATGCTTGGTAAAGAGTACAAATTATGCAGCTCCTCGTTGTGTCTTATTACCTCAATTCAGCGTCTTCATCTCCCTTTGATCCAAATATTCTTTACAGAACCCTCTCTTCTCTCGGCGTGAAAGACAACCACCAGTTGAGTTAAGAGTTCTGCATATTTTATTTGATGGGGTTTTTGGACAGCACACGGAAAACAAGATTTTTGAAACACGGAAGAAAACATTTCCGGAATATTAACTCAGCTTACCAATGAATCAGGTATTGTACCGGTTTTACGGAACCCAAAAATTCGTTACCGTGTTTACAAAAGCCTGTATCTAAAAGGTTTATTTTTTATGACTGTGCGTGCCCGCTTCAACCATTCAGCGGAATTACATAACCCAGCCTCTTAAATCAACGCAAATTTGTTCCTGGTTCTCAAGTACGCGCCAAGCCGAGAAGGCGTATGGTGGAGTGGAGGCATAGTTCCACGCATTAATCACCGCAATGGAACGTGGGTGGTTAGCCCCGAGGAAAGCGTTTTACAGATGGCTGGCTGGGAGGTCCCCCTAGAGCCGGTCCGGATATCGTGCAAAGATAAAGGTTCTGCCCTATCAGGAATCGAAACCCGGTCACCCAGCCCGCAGAACATCCCGGCCCAGTGACAGCGGATCCTACGCAGGACCAAAGCCGAGACCTACCCACGGAACAGACAAATAATGGGTAAGGTAATGATCCCATCGCAAGGATAAGAGGGCAGGTTGGCAAGGCTAGTGGCTACAATTACTGAGATACCGTGAATGAGCCTCCTCATTTAAAAATTTCCCATTCGCTATTTGCATATCACTGGACGCTACATGAAACAGCGTCATTTAATCGCCAAACACTGAGTCAACATGGAAAAACATAACAACGATCATAATTACTGTGAGATTCAAAGGATCACCATTACTACGAGATTAAAATCCTGGTTATTATTGTCTTTAACGCGCTGTTACCAAGGCGACAGAACTACGGTATCAGTCACATACTTGTCCTTGTATTTACTCTGTCGAAAAAATTTCAAATTTCATGCAATGAAGGCGCGTGAGAAGAAAAATCTCTATGCATTTTAAACTTCCGCACAGCATAATCCAAAGCAACGTATATCTTACCCTATCGTAACCCAATCTAAATGTTCCCCTGTGCCTAAGCACCATACCCCAAAGAGGAGCAAAGGAAACGTGGAGGTGTGGCTCCATGCATTTTAGATCTTGCTAAAACGAGGCGCAATGTGAGACCGCCAGGTCACTACTCACCTGCCGACGCGGGTCTGGGTCTGCTCGATCGCCTGCTTCCTTCCTTCCTTCCTCCAGCTGATGTCGCAGGAGGGCCAGTTCCTCGCCTCGTGTCTGATCGGGCTCTTCTCTCTGTCCGGCGCACGGAGCACGAAAAGAGAAAGACAGACAATTTCATGATAAGGAAACACATGTGTTACGTCCGTAGCGATGAGGAGAGTGCCGGTGTGGCAGGGGGAGGGGGGTACTATTATCAACATGGGCGTGATCTCGTCTTGTACATGGCTCCACCTCAACCGAATTCCTCCCCTCCTCCTTCACAACTAGAGCACGTTGTTGTCTAGCCTAGATAAGGTACACTACACAAGATGCACATGTAACGTTGAGGACGTTTTGCGAACATGAATCAAATACGTGCATTTGCACATTTCAATGGATTCTGACTTACAGCGAAGGGGCGAGAGGAGATTGCTTGATGACGGATGAGAATTCTCTCTCTCGCTAATACTCTTTTCCCTGTCGGCCCGAGAATGACATGTCTTGTTCGTCAGAGAGGTGTGGGAAGGGAGACAGAAAGAGAGTAGAAATCCCCAGGAATAAGAAAAGTGAACAAAATAAAAATCCACAGGCTTTCTTGAGGGAGAGGTTTTAGGGGTAGCGGCAATTGTGTTCATGGTCAAGGTGAACTGATATGAAGAGCCCAAGTTACCTGACACCACTTTGAGATGTGGAACACAGAGCTGGTGGGGGAGGGGAAATAGAAGACGACGATAATGACGAGGTGGGGGAATAGGTAGGAGAGGCAGGAGGGTCATCCCATCCACGTCAGTCATTGGTGGATACTTGAGTTACGTAACGGGGATGCACAGTGGTGGACGGTGGTAGTACTTGCAGGGACAACGAGGAAGACAGGAAGATGACATAAAGAGGAGAGCAGAGTATAACTGTTGAATATTCATAAATTCCACCAGTGACAGAGTCTGAGGGGAGGGGGGTGGTGGTCCTCACAAATATAGAAGGGTGACACGCTACGTCCGTGCCCTAAACCTTAGTTGCCCTTGGCCGAGAGAAGAGGTTTTCAAGCTGCAATGGCTCTGATGGTGACTTTGGGTCTGATAGCAGTGGCCGCAGCACTTCTCGGCCTCTTGGTGGCCCTCTTGCGCGGCGACTCTAAGACACAGCATGCGAAGAGACCTCCGGGCCCAAAGCCGTGGCCCATTCTCGGCAGTCTCCACCTCTTGGGGCAGTGCGAGTCACCATTTGAAGCGCTCACCGAAGTGGGCAAGATGTACGGCGAAATCTACAGCATAACCCTGGGCACGACGCCGTGCATAGTCGTGAGCAGCTTCCCGCTCATCAAGGAGATTCTCATCACCAAGGGCTCGCACTTTGGCAACAGACCGAACTTCCTACGTTTCCACATGCTCTTCGGCGGCGATCGCAACAACTGTAAGTCTATATATAACACGTTGCATTGCTTCTGTCACAGTAGATGGACAAATATCAAGGTTCGACAGCCAGTTGATCGGGCTGATCTTACAGGACCCAGAGGTCCAATACTGTCCTCGGAGCCAATTTAGTCCATCACATTTCTCCAACATCAATTTTAATATTATCCTCCCATTTACGTCCAGGTCTAAGTGGTCTTTTCCATCACGGGGTTTCAATCAACATATGTCGTGCTCGCTTAATAGCTTTTTCTTTAATTAGTCAGAATTAGTTGTAGAGCATAAGCAAATGCTTTGTTCAGAAGCTGGTGAATTTGTGATTTAATTTTGAGGGGTTTTCAGAACGGACTAACGAGGAAAACATTTTATTACGTGGTCTCACCATTCATACTTTACGTGTTGTCAATGTTGGTCTTTGCGGTGTGGTGGCCTTATGAAGATGGAGGTAGCGTGTTTCTCCGAAACGCTTGTATCTACCTACGAGTCCACACGGCGTCATAACCCAGAAGACCAACATCGGCAACTTCACTGCTGTGAGAACCGCGAATCTCATAATGTTCTTGACATAAATGTTCGTCTTACATTTACGAAATCTTTCCATCCCAAAACTTCAAATTATTCGCAAGCATCAATCATCAATCATCCCATACGCGATGAAAGGTCAACGAATTCTTAAGCTCACGACAGGATTTAGAGTAATTGAGGGAGCATTTTCAAACCCACAAATAATCACAAAAACTGACCGTCACGGTGTAGAGGTTGGTTGGTTGGTTGGTTGGTTAGTTAGTTAGTTAGTTAGTTAGTTAGTTAGTTAGTTAGTTAGTTAGTTAGGACTTACTGACAATCCTGACTTCAGTCCCAACTTGGCAAATTTTAGAACAGTGTCTTAAAATAGGCCACTGCCGCTTCCTTCCACGCTGATTCCATCCTAACATTCTACGGACTTGAAGAAGTTATTAAATATATTGTCCCGTAATTTATATAACAACGCTTTACCAACTGCACAGGATGGTTGAAGGTTAATCGGAAATTATGTGACTCGTATTAAGATAGGCTTAACTGTACAGAGTCCAACCGAAGTGACTCAGAAGACCCACAAAATTCATCAGTAAGGAGAATTAATCAATGCAAAAATTTCTAAATTACGCTAATGATTCGCTTATTGTATGATGCTATATCAACTGCTCTGTGTAGCGGTCAGATCTATGGTTAAATTATGAATGGGACTGGAATATTCTTTTATTTATTTATCTATAGTTTATTTAACGACGTTTTTTCAGTAGCTGAGACTGTATCGCGTCGAGGACTGGAGTAGGAGGAAGAAATATTACATTATTTAGGTACTATCTATGTACGCTCCTGTAGGGGCTAAGTAAAACTACGAAAAATTTTAATCACAGAAACCGTTCCCGTCCGAGATTCCAACCAGAGATTCCCGAATGCGACTTACATGCACAATCGCTGTGCGAACCTGCTGGGATCATTTTAAATTATGGGGCATTCGTTTGTTGGTAGTTTGGAAGAATTTGATGGCTTTGCAAATCCGCTTTAAACAGTTTCCGTTTATTACTTGTGATTTTACGTTTGTCTTCGTGTTTTATTAGTGGGAACAGGGAAGTTGTTCGACAAATTCCATTGGATCCATATTCCGTTTCACAGACAGGTCTTGCTGAAATCAACAGTCTGTATTTCGACGGAAATGCAAGCTGCCGGACCCATAATCCACGTATCTACAAATTTCCATTTCTCAAACCTAGAACCAATTACGAGGGGGTCCATGGAGCCCAGTCAGAATTCAGGATATCATTTCAGAATTATTAATATTGTTTTGTGTAGTTTTATGTATCCATAAAAGGTGTTCAGTTAGTGCGAATGACGTGTAGCTATTCCAAAAAAAAATTTGCGAATGTTTTCGGGCCGCGGTCACTTAAGAACAGCCTGACAGAGTTCCACCCCTGATCGTCACAGTCCGTTCAACAGGTCATTACGGTTAAAAATTAATTACAGCCGGATGCCTTCTCCTGTGGTTTAACGGGCTTTGTTACAAAACAAACACCAGATCAGTCGGAGTAACTGCTATTAATTTTCTATCTTCAGCTGAAGAAGTTTGGGCTAACTTCATGGTGCAGTGTCTTCCTTGAAAAGCCCGCATTTATTCAGCTCTTCAAGAAATTGCCCATCCCCCATTTAACATTATATACTTGTAACTGTATCTGTAAAAGATTAACATTCTAAGGAACAAATCTTAAAGTTCGTCACAATCTTCACAAAATTCGCCATAAACTTTAAGGCCCTCTTTAATATTATCCTCCTTTATACGCTCAGGTCTCCCAGTTCGTTTGTCCCTTTCAGTTTCCCGACTACAAATTTGTATACAATTCTTATTTCCGGCCCATATCTCCTTAATGTTATCGCCCAGAGCAGTGTTCCGCGACCAGCATGCCGCGAATTTTTATAAGAAATTCTGTGTTCGTAAGTTAAAGTTAGATAAAGACAGTATCTTATATTTCGTAATCTGAATTCATTCAACACGTGTAAGGCTCTGTCACATGCCTGCATCCTTAGAGGGCATGGATTTACATGCAGATACGTATTTATGGCAATATATCGTTTCGCACACCCTCTTCGTGGGTACTTTGACAAGTTAGGGTGTGACGTAGCGGGGAATAAAGTTTGCGAAATACTGCTCTAGAAATTTAAGTGTACAAGGCAAAGAGTACGAATTATGAAACTTGATCTTCAGGTCACCAATTTTATCAACTCAGAAATCTGTTCCCCCCCCCCCCCCCCCAGTTCCCCGCTCCGTGCTAACCTTTACTGACAACCACGTGTAGGCATTGTAACGCACGTGACCACAGTCCGGTTACTGCTCTTTAATACAACACAATGTTTTAGAAAATAAGACTCCTGAAATTAACTGTGAGAACACAATTAATTCTTCCTAAATACGTCTTCTTAAACCCAAGCGCGAAGTTCGTCCATTTAAACTGAGAATTACTTTTTGCTACAAAGTGGACAGAACTGAAGTATCCGGGTTCGCATTTAGGCCAGGTAATAACCATTCTATTGAGGAGATTATACCTAAGAGACTGCTCCTAGCATTTTCTTTTTCGCCATCACGTCCATTTTCCGGGGTAAAGCCGGCCGGGGCGTGATCCTGACCACTCAGTGCCGAGGTCAAGAATGCCTCTCCCATTAAGCGCCTAGTGGGACAGCTTTACTTTGCTTTTATACATTAACATTCATTAATTCAGTATTTTACCCAAACAATAATAACCATTAAAGCTTTATGGCGGAGACGCGTTGTGTTTTCTTTGCGGTACGGACTGATCCTACAAAAACTATTCACATGAACTTCGTTCTCAGAGGACAGCAACAATTTTATTTTATATATGAATCAGCACGAAGACCGATGACTTGGGCAAAATCACACCAGAACCCGTTCGCAAAATACCTTATTTTTTTATATATCTCTCTCTCTCTCTCCGCTCTCTTGTTGCTAATTGATCCGTTAAACAACCGCACACTAGCCAAATTGCGCTGCTGTGAGAATGGAAGTCCGGGTTTTCAAGGTTAATCTGGCTAGAGATCATGACTGATCTTCTCGGAACATAAATCGGCTAGTGATGCGCTGATATTCTAACGAATCACAGCCGCTCGCTTCGCATACCCGGAAGTATAGTTACGAGACTCTCGCCAGATGTCCTGCTATCGCCTCCTGCCGCTGGCTGGAATTTGTTTTCTCTGTTCTCATTTTTCATGAGGTGAAACAAGAATTTTGCTGCCACGGCAGATCAAACTTCACGTAACTCGACACTCAACAAATCAGTCACCAGTTTACACTTCATAAAGTGATGCCACATTCGACTTTGATGATTTCGCACTTCGTGTTTTGCATAATTGTGTAAATTTCCTATTCGTTTGTCGCTGGGTCTTGGTCTTATTGCATTCCTCGCATGCGCCTTCGACGAGGCTCTGCCAACAGCAGTATTCAATCCACGAGACCGAACACCGTTGGTTTTTGCTTACCACACTTACTCTGCCTTCAGCAGGTTCCGGGTTCAAATCCGAGACAAAATTCATACTCCGAAGGATGATATTTGTCACTTATTTTAAATCCTGCATATCCGTTATTCACAATTATCTTCCTATTAGACACTATGCAGTCCGTGCGTGAAACTTGAGGGTCTCATGACAATGAAAATGTCGATGTTGGTCGTCTGGACTCTAACATTGCGTGGAATTGTCATTTTACCAACGTTTCCGAATAACATGTTGAAGTTCTCCCTGAAGACGGACGAATATGTTCCTCCGAAACCCTTCTATCTACCTACAAGTCCACACGGCGCCAAACCCAGAACATGAAGACAGCGTTTATCATCCAGGGTGCAGTAGGCTACGTATTTTGAAAGGAATTGGGTTACACCGTGATATCTGGTAGAAGTTTGTCGACGTTTCAGAGATGCTTGTTGCCTCATCGTGCTGATGATGGAGGCAGAAACACCTCTAAAACGTCGGTAAACATCTACCAACCAGGCTACATGACGCGCGACATCCCAGAAAATAGTCACTGGGCTTGAAGAAAGGGAAACCGTGAATTGAACCTCGGTCATCCGCAATTTCTGTGGGTAATTCGGCTTCGTTACGCGGTCAGAGGCAACCCGGTAGGAAGTGGGACTCGCGGGAGCGCCACTAAGCAGGACAAGTCGTGGCTGGGTTATGCAAGAGGATAGAGACGTAAACATAACGGATCGGTCGCCCGCCCGCCCATCTGCCCTTGGCCTCCATAGAACTGAATTTTTCTCCCTCTCTCTCTCTCTCTCTCACACCAATGTCACTCATTTTTCCGATTCCATTCTTCAACGCCACTTTCCACGACAACCGCTTTATTTCGCATGAAGTGATTAGAAGGTTTCGTGTTTGGGGCGAGGATGTCAATCGATTATTCAGTAAAATTAAAATATTGCTCAAATTACACAAATAGCCGACTTCAGCTGTTAATTTTGAATACCTTGTGAGAAAGGCCAGTGTTTTAAAGTGAGAGACCCCTGTCTGTGACGCGTTCGGATTTTGGCCATCAGAGCACTGGAATCGTGGGTTCGAGCCCGCGTTTCTTTTGTGTTGTGTTGTCCTATGCAGATACAGACCACACACACACATTTCGCAGTCCAACGTCTAATGAGTTTTTCTTTTCCGGTCTGAACAAGGCAAATCGGAAATTTGTGAACGCTGAGAGTAAAAGATGCGGCAATGCCAGTAGTTTCGGACCTCTCTGCATATTAATTTCCATAAATCCACTATCAGTTGTGACAGATTCCAGTGATTGTTCTTAAAAATTAAATTTTCATGCTCACGTTGTCTGTTTCTTACAAAACATCGTAATTTCCTGTGAAGTTCTTCGAACCAATATCGAATTGTTACTTCGACATTTCTGGAAATATAAATCGCACATACACGCTGTAATTTCAGTTTAATAACAGGTAAGTTCCTTTTGAACTTCAAGCAAACAAGAGTTATACGACGGCCGACAAAACCAAAATTTAACTCAAGTCAGTTCAGTAATTCTGAAGATAAAACAGGCGGACGGACGAGGATAATACCGTATTTCCTCAATTTTAAGACGCCATCGATTGTATGACGTAATAGGTCTTCGATAAGAAAAGATGCAAAATCGATTCTTGGACGCCATAAAAAGGAAGATGGACTCCGATTTCAGAAATGTTAAAATGTGAAAAAGTGATCCTTAAAATCGAGGAAGTGCGGTGCTTATTTCAACCGATTCTCCCAACTGGTGCGCCTTGGCACTTAACTTGTCCAGTCCTCAGCGTACCACTCTCACCGAAGACTGCCCCAAATTCCTCTACCTCGCTTTGTCAGTTCGTTCACTTTCCTCATCGCTCACTCACTTTCGCCGTTATTTCTGTTCATTTGGTTCTTCAAGATCAAGGATGCCCAAACTCGTAAATAAATTGCACTTAGTTTAGTGGAACACGAGCCATAGTTCACGTCCCGCCGAACAAGCTGTAACGACGCCTTCTTCGTGCAAACTACGTAAGACAAACGCGTAGTTGGGAGCTGATGTACGTCTGCACTTTCTATTATTTCCGAAACAACTGAAAATATTTGGTATTTTTGACACGACACCAAAAGTTGCTAGGCGAATTTAATTTTGATTCCTATAGATTTAACGTATATGCTGATGATGTTAATTTACTGGGGGACGATATGAATACAATAAAGAGGAACGCAGAAGATTTACTAGAGGCTAGTAGACAGGTGGGGTTAGAAGTAAATTCAGAAAAAAACTAAGTACATGTTAGTATCTCGTCATCATAAGACAGGCGGGCAAAATTATCTTAGGGTGGCTAATAAATCCTTTGAAAGGGTTACAAAGTTCAGATATCTGGGAACAACAATAACAAATCAAAATGACACTCATGAGGAAGTTAGGAGGAGATTAAATTCTGGAAATGCTTGCTACTTCTCAGTTCAAAATATTTTGTCTTCCCGTCTGATTTCTAAGAACCTGAAAATTAAAGATAGGCGGGGCGGGGCATGTAGCGCGCATGGATGAGACAAGAGGTGTGCACCGGGTACTGGGTGGGAAACCTGAAGGGAAGAGACCGCTGGGGAGACCTAGACGTAGATGGGAGGATAATCTCAGGCGGGATCTATGGGAGATAGGAGTTGAAG